CGAATATTTTTACAGCAAAAATGTTCTAATTTTATAAAATAAAGAACACGTTATCTGTAGATAGGTATGTTACTGTCTGCAAATGTCTTTAATCTACCCTAATTTGTGTTATTCGGCCTCGGCAGCTATTTCAGTTTAGATTACAGATTGGCCCTTGTTGCGATAACATCAGTGATGATGGAAATTTGATATTTCAATTATCTCGAGATAGCCGTGTACTCGTTGTTCGATAATTGAAAAAATCTCAAAGTTTGTGGGACAGAAGTTTTTTGTCAATAGAATATTTGATTTATTTGAAGAGGGACGAAATAGTTTTCAAAATTAAGTATTTTGTATAAGTAATTCAGCTTTGAGAATTTGTAAAATAACTAGAAATCTTGTGTTAAACAATATTAAACTTTACAGCTTTCAAATTTAATTTTATTTGATGATATTGAAAGACTCCTTAAGAGGAGAAATAACCTAGAACAAAAATATTCAAACTTAATATCGAGATATTTTTATCAGATCGGTAACTCTGAATAATGTTCACCCTTATTTGTAACAACGCTATTTATCATCTGTTGGAAAATTTTCTTAAATTTTATTCCGTTCTGCCTGTCCGCTTCATGGTTACCTGTGTGTACGTTGATGAGTTTTCAAAAAAAGAAAGATACAAATGAAAACATATAGTGCTGATTTTTATGGGTAATATTTCTAGACCCAATCAATTTTCACTCGAAAAAATGAGCCAAAATCGTTCAAAATTTGTAAATATGGTAAAATAGTTATTTTCCAAATTGAAACGACGTGTATAGTTAATATTTTATTGTATTCGTTGATGAATACGCATGGAATATCATTGATTCTCGAATTGTTTTGATATGCATGGGATTAATAATATGCTTGGTTCGTAATGTCGGACTCTTGTCAGAGTATAAACACATTTTTGACCAGACGAAAAAAGCTAAGGTTAAGATTGCACAACTCTCTCAACGAATAGAATATTATATATAATTTTCTATTCTGTCGATAAATTCATTGTTGTCTCGTTATCTACCTTAAATCCCCCACCATTGAAGAACAATGGCAAAATCATCAAAAGAAATGTCAACATGAGCACGCGTTGGGGTTTTGGTTACCAAATTTCAGTTGTGGAGGTTGTTTTAAACTCGTTTGTTGTTCGAAATTCGTGTAGGAACCCAAAACACTTCACAGACAAGTGTGACCGCTCGACAACAATGAAAATGGTCCGAGCTATATTAAGGGCAAGCCATGCGTAGCGTGTAAATTGTTGTTCACATAACAAAGTAGAAAGCCGATACCCCTCGTGGTTTTCGGTGTTTAGCAAAAATTTAAACCTCCGTAAGATGATTGAAAATAACTCTATCGCGTATAAATACCATTATCATTGTGTTCAAATTTTATTATCATTCCTGCGTCCTTTTTTGGTTCTTTTTTATTTGTATCCCTATTTAGTTGTCTAATTTTTTTCATTATTCCATAAATGAGTTTTGATCAAATTTTGCCTGCTGAATATGTGACATTTGAAACTTCTGAGATTATTATGAGCTTAACGAAAAATGCCCTCAGCCTTCTGGCAAGTATGCAAATTTTTTCAAGTTACAGAAGATTTATTCTTTCGAAGTGCAGGTAAACGAAAACTTAAATTATCGCGAATTAAAAAAATGAGATTCCGCATTTCCCATTATTCCTGGCATGCTGCGGTCTGGTGAGACTACAAAACATGCTTTATGCAAATGTTTTGTCAATAACCCAACATTTTTTTTATGTATTTCATTTTTTTAAAAAGGAAGTACGGGGTGTGCCAACCAAGCCTTGCATTCTCAGGAATGCATTTCAACAATGCTATCTGTTTTCCGAACAATAAAAATCAGAGTTATTTTATTTCATACCCATTTTAGCTCCAACCGCACACGTGTCAATAATAGAAAGCTTTCAGTTAGACTTTAAGTCATCAGATTACCTCAAATTACCATAATTTTCAGCGCAGTATTTTTGTTTCCCACAGAATAGTCTATTGTTTCGCGTCAAGCCGAAATCTTGAAAATTGAGCTCAACCGTCTGATAGACGCCAAAATAAAAGTTTGTGTCAAAACCACGAGTAAACTCAGATTTCCTAGCCAGACAAAGTTCCTGAGTAATTGAAACTTTATAGAAAATGCCACTGACCGCATTTCATAGAAGAATAAGATATACCACAATTTTGCAGTCATTGCATTACTCTAACGTGGATAGGCGTGGTTATTCGCCTGATATATAGAGAGAGGTACTTTGATTGAGAGAGCAGTCCAGGCTCGATATGTATATTTGTTTATAACCTCATTATGAGTGGTTACTATGGCAACGTTGGAACATAGAAACAGGTGCAAGCATTGTTTCCATTTTTTTTCGCAATACTGAATTTCATTTTTACTGACGATTGGGAAGTGCCAAAAACCTTATACAAGTTCAAAAGACCGTCACAAAATCAGACTCAAGGCAGAGTGTTCAATACAGAAATTTGTGGAATTTTATGAAAATGATTTTTTAGCATTAAGTACGCTACAACATTGTCCGTAACAGATGACCACAACTGCCGAAAACTAAATATATAGTCCTAGCGGATAGAGATTGAACGGGGTAGCTAAGCGAGTGTTCGGGTCACAATCACAAGGATAAAAATACTTTTGTGACACTTTGCCTAAATCCAACAGAGCTCTGCATTTACCTAATTTTATTCTCGCGGGCCAGTCATTAATAGAAAGCAAACATATCAGAAGTAGCCAATCACGGACCGCAGAGAGACGAAGCCTCATGGGGCCATTATCAAGTGTGAATAAAACTTACATCGGCATGCTTATTACGATAGAATTTTTATATTGAGAGAAGATCAGTTCACATTGTTAATATCAAAATGCCTTTCGGAGTGACCAAAATAACCTTATAACCGCAACCACATCAAAGGGTTATGGATGAAGGAATGTAGATTTATTGACGCGCAACATCGCGATGTGTGATCCAAATTATTACAGTTACGTCATTTGATGCGAAGGTATTGTACCTTGACATAAAATAGGTGTAGATCTATTAAATATTATGTACAAAATCTCATTACGTATAAATTCAGTAATACACTGAAAAATATATGACAACCAGAGAAAACCTCAAGCGGCTCAGATTGTAGCAGAGTGAGCACTAATTCCTGCATGCTTTTATTACTTACGACAAAATTTTGCCCAAAATTAGCAGCTAGACTTGAAATTCGCGTGTAATATAATTAGGGCATTCCACTGGATGCATACCTCAAAAAAGGACTTTTTTCTTGTTAATGTTGAAATTTTTTCAATGTGTTTTTCTTGTTTCTGTATATATATATATATATATATATAAGTATCGCAATGAACTACATCATAATTTTTGTATTAGTTTTTGAACCTATTTCCGATTAAATTATCGTACTCCGTGTATTTATAACTTTTGTTCGTCTTTGTATTTTAACATCGCCGATTGGCAGCTGGTCAAAAATCTTTATCAAGACGGGAAGCTACAAGAAATATTTGGAAGTAATTTGTTTAAAAGATTCCGATTTAAAAACGAGCATGAATGTCGAACTATAGCAATCAAAAATTGAGAAAGATAATTTAAATTAATCAAAAATCACCATCAGAAAATATTTTTAATATATAAATATTTGTAGGCATGTCAAAAATTTCAATTCCGACTTCTACTTTCTAATCCAGCTGCGAATATTTGGCAATTTTACTATGATGCATAACAATTGCACAAATTAGCTTTACGACTTATTTAGAGTTTCTACATAAAAGGTGTTGAGAGCAGTTGAAAATTTACTTATAGGAAGCGTGGCCAGAATTATTAGGAAATGCAACAAATTTTATGAAAATATTCAAAAGTGCACTCAGGAAAACATACATAAAGTGCTATTTTCCCAGTGAATTAGTTGAGTTAAATGACCGTGTAAAGTCTTAATGCTTGCTTCCTCCGTTTCAATCATTTTCTAAAAATGGGTGACGTACAAACGGGATTGCGGTCAGGGTAATAAAAGAGCCGGATTTGTGGTTAGTATGAATGTCTTTGCAAATCCAGAAATATTTCGGTTCTGCACATAATCAATAGTATATTTTACATTAGTATGAAGAGATTAGGATTTTCCAGATACCTCTCCAAAGCGCCATTTAAGAACTGTCATTTTAACAGGCGTTGAGTTATTACCAAATCAGGTATGGAAGAATTATCATAGAATAGATACTTTGAAAATTTGTTATGTATAAATAACTGAGCTACACAATGTACATTTCTATAAATATTCTGAAGCCTTTTATAGTGACCGCCTGGTAGATATTTGGCTTTTAAGCGTTTTTCATTGTTTTTGTAAAAATAGACAGTGTACAACATAAAAAGGCACATTGGCAACACGAGTTATGACGACAACTATATAACTCTTCACACTATAATACCGGTATGAATCAAACCAAGGACAATATTCTATGGAGTATTCAAATATAAATTCAGAACCACTTCATTCAGGTTGGGATATTCTAATCTAGGACAATAGTTTGCATATACTCGACAAGGTATGTTCGAGTCTCGAGTACCGTTTGCCAACATGATTGATCTACGTGATTTATGAGTCGGGCACTTGGCTTAGTGTGTAGTTTATGTCAGACGTAGTTTTCACAAGGATCTGGAGAGCTTCGTGAATTCATTCGCTTATCTCATAGTAAATAAACAATATTGAAGGAACGTTTCGTCTCCACGTGCGTGAATGATGCGATAAATATAGTAGTCATGCTCCACAAGCACGAACTATATATGGTTAGACGGGACCCTCCATTTTACTTCCTGACCGTTCTAAACATAGAGATGATTTTAATATTTCTTCAGACCTATGGTCTAATGTTGTTATGAGCTGTGTGTGTTCAAACCCAACCTATTCGTTCATTGACATTCTTATATTACCATTTCATAACTTTATGGTGGGTTAATCACATATGTAGATTAATATTTTCATATTTTACAGATTCACACAAAATATCTAGGTATGAAAGTAAGAAAACAATGAAAAGACATTCAATATATACATGAAACTGCTGCGAAAACCTGACTGATTTTTTGTCGCGGAGTATTGAACAATAAACTTAATGGCTCTGTGTGATCAGTGTCATTGCCTGCATGATGTCGGACTAAATCCACCTCATGCTGCCCGAACTCATGGTGAATCATCCAGCAATATCTTAAATCTAACTCACACCGAGTATTCAATGACAGAAGAAATGTCACCATATCGTTATCACTGTGATAAGCTATCCACCCACGAAAATCAAAGACGTTCGAGACATAGCTACAAAATGGACAATTTTGCCGAAGTTCAGTGTAAATGGAGACCCTCAGTAAATAAAACATATTGTGAATCCAAGTCACAGTCCCATATTCAACAAGTAGACCAAGACCGCTTGAGTACCGGTACACTACCAATTGTTACTGCACTTGACCCCACTTCGAAAACAAATTACTGCGCAGAGATTCTACATCTGTTGCCAGATTTTATTACAAAGGATCATGTTTCGTCATTGCGTAGGAATACGACGTCAATTAAGTTATTTCACTGGACATGCGTGATATTATTATTTGCACTTCTACCCTGCATTCTGGCTGTACCAGTAAGGTAAGTTAACACGTTATTATGTTTTTATCCGATAATAGCGATATGGATTTAAACCATTCACAGGTCCTTGTTGTGCCCAATATTAAGAGCCTTTGAATCAGTATGATGCAGATAGTTTTTAGTTTGTCGCCAAACTTAGTATGTTGGGTGGAAATATGAGCCATCGTATTCCTATTTCGACACTTGGATAATCCATTTAGTTCTCTTATGCCTCTGAGAATTGTACAAATTAGAGAATTCACATTTACTTGACATTTCTAGTCATGATAATTTGCTAGTAGATATGTTAATTTTGTGAACGTTCACCAATAAACGAACACTCGCCCTATTTATTATGTGTTTTTAGTTTAAAGGTTAGCGCGGAGGATTTAAATCACTCTACATTGTGCTACACATTATTATCATATATTCAATCCGCTGTGAAGTTAAACTTTACAAACAAAAGAGAACAAACGATATATCAGTCATTATTTAATCGACAAACAATAAGAATATAATCGTTCCACAGCGAATTCAAGCTCGAGGTAAAATAACCTACCCCGTTATCGATATCCAATTTTATTATGTACTCGTCATCTTAGCCCACCAGAAACAACAAAGGTATAGTCTAATAGGTACATTGTATATTTTTACTTTAATTTCAATAATTTTCAGGTATAAGCTAAAAAATTGATAAAAACACCGTAAAAGTAACTCGCATATACGAAAGTTGTTGTAGCCTATACGGAACGCTATTCCGGTTTTGTGAATACAGTCATGCAATATGTAACGAATATATATCCATATTTTTTTCTTTTTTTTTCTTCAGAACATTTTTGAAAATGTTAAACAACTTTCGTCGATAGTTAAAATTGTTCACTGCATCACCAAAGGTGTCAGAGGTGGTGAATTCTAACAAAAATAACATTGAATAACAATATTGTGATGATTATCCATTGAATTTTGTCTTTTAAACATATTAACCCCATAAGAACATTTCTCATTTAGATCGTTCGTGATTTTATAGATAGTCCACAAAACGTGATAGCCACGCTTATAATATAACACCATATTTACATAGCGTTGTGTACTTTGACCATGTCATCTATTAGTCGCCGAGCTTATGAAATCCTCCCTGTCTACAAGGCTAGGCAAACTAAAACAAAGTATAAATTGGCAACCCACAGAACGCGGTCGATTCTCAGAAAACGACAAACGAATCGATCGATAACCTACATTTGTATCAACACGCGCGTTATTTAATAGTGATCCGGGAGATGTTATTTTCTAACAGTGTGTCCAGTCTTTCTTCTGTAATATTTTCCTATTAGAATGTCCACATCCGTATTATGTATCCGAATTTTGTTGCGAAAACAAGACTGAAGCATACAGGAAAATTTAGAACCGACTCCGACCTCAAACGAACCAAACTCACGACTCGTGATTGAGCTAAATTTTTACTTTGACTCCAGCTCTCAGCTTGAAAAATAATAATGATCATAAAAATACTGTCGTTTGCAAGACTTGCCTAATTTTTAACTACATGTTTTTTGTTTGTTTTTGTCGTAAATTCCGACTTTGATTATCACCATCTGAAGTATGAAATTTCCCAAGCAATCATAATCTAGAATTTTTTACCCAATTGTATATTTTGTTTCAAACTTTATTCAGTTTTCAACATGGCTTCTGATCATAGATTTTGTGGGATAAAATAGGCCTGCTGTCGCATAATTTCCCAATCTAGGAAAAATTAAACGTCCCAAAACTAGGAAGGCGGTAGCTGGGGCATCTTCATTTATTTATTCATCCTTCAAGATGACCAGTGCTTTCCGTATAACGGTATTTACGAAACCAATATTGAAAATTTCCAATGTTTTTATATTGCAGAACTTTATCAACAAACTTTAACAAATTTCCGTATATTTTCCAAGTTCTTTCGCTCTTGTCAGTATTTTCAATTTGTATATCATAGCAGTCCGGAATCTTATCTCCCACTTGGCTTCATAAATAAATGTTTCTGATGACTACAGCAACTATTATAAACGAGATGAATGATATAAACGGGCCGTCCGCCCGGGCCAATAAATCTACACGAAGTCGACCATTTATGTTCTGAATAAATAGGACCATGCAAAAGAACATTTATATTAGATTATATTATATCTTATTTCGGTTAAAATATTTAAGACGAATCTTAGTTATTGTGTCAATATTTATTGAGGAATTACTCGCCAGCTCATAGTTTTCATTTCGGAATACGTTTGGTAGATGATGCATCTGCGTCACATTTTTCAAATACCTGGAACGCTAACAACCAGCAGATAACGCATTAACCCTGGCTAGCCCCAACAGCCTTTTATATTGATTTAGGTAAGCGGGAACAAAAGTAAAGCGTCTTGCGTTCGAACTTCTTATCTCATCACGTGCGTGACTTTTGTGAACGTATTTTATGGACCAATTATTCAACATTCTATCTTTTTTATCGGTCATATATTAAACTTAAAGCCTGCCAATAAACAATTCAAAATACAGTGTTTGTGAAATATTTGAAATTTAATTATTTCTTTCCCTATTCAAAAGTAAAAGTTACGTTCAAAAATATAAATTCATGTATCGCATACTATTTGGGCTCTGATGACAGTTTTCAAGATTGAGCAAAATTTCTAATCAGTTACCCATAATATTTAGGTGGGAAGTTGGTCCTTACGGAGAATGCACAACTACTTGCGGGAGAGGGACACAGTCCAGGTCGGTCATTTGTAAAAACATGGCCGACGAAAAAATTGATTCTCATAGTTATGGATCTACATCACAACTTCCTGAAGTAATGTGTCCTTATCCCAAACCAATATCATCTAGAAGTTGTTCTTTGATTTCTTGTGCGCCGGTGTGGACACCTGGACCGTGGTCTGAGGTTGGTAAACATTAATAATATATACGTTCATGGAGTCATTTGAATAGGCTTGTTAAAAAAATTGCAAAGTTAATTCAGAAATTGATTGATACCGTTATTTCAGAGTTCTGGATTCTCGGGAGGTTGTCGACGAAATACTGAAATATGCGGATAAATACCGTTATTTTCAATATTTTTACTCGAAAGAAAAAACAATATAAATTTGTATTACTATTGTTTAAATTTTAGACCACTATACGAGAAATCAAGGCTTGTACATTTCATCAATTCAAATACCAATTATCGGTTCTCTGATATTTTAATAAGTCAGTCTCTCACTTTCAATTATTGAATCGTAAAGTTAGCCATATATTGGATTCAACTACTTACTGTCTTCTTCTACTTTATAAAACCAGTGCTCCAGAACATGCGGTCGTGGAATTCAGAAACGTCAATCATTTTGCACACAGAGATTAGCTACCGGCACTACTGAGCGCGTCCCAGATGTTTATTGTTCTCGTGTTCGTCCTTCCTCTAAAAGAAAATGCGCAATTATTGACTGTCCACCACGATACGCAGTAAAAAAGTGGTCGGAGGTTGGTTAATACCCACGTTCTTACCTGTACATACCTATTCTCATATTTCCAACTATACTGGGACAAAATGTATTGTTTTTCTGCCAACCAGCTCACCAATCTAAATAGAGAAGACTGATTTCTGAACAAAGTTATATGAGCGACCACGGTAATTCCATAAAGCCACTAATTGAGCAAAAAAAATAACATAATTAGTCTTTTTACGTGATTTATCACCAAATTTTAAATTGTATCCAATTAGAAAAATTTGTGGAAATGTCAAACGCATTTCCAAAGAAATCGTTATTTTTAAACTAAACGAATCTGTTTCTCATTTTGTCGCCTCGTTCTTATTCAGTGTTCGGTAACTTGTGGAAGAGGAGTACAACTGCGCGAACTGACGTGCGTCCAAATAGCCGCTGGACAACACGTTCTTCAACCCATTTCACTGGGACATTGTTCACACTTGACGAGGCCCATCGTCGAACGATATTGTAGACAAGGAAAATGCGCAGGAGGTTAATAGCTCTTTCCTCAGATTTTACTTTTTTTTCTTGCTGAATATTCTATCTGATTTATTGCCTAAAAAATCGCCTTTCAATAGTTGCCAGCTCATCAAGACGAATGGCGCCCAGAGTACCCAAGATTATCACAGCTCGAAGAACGTTTATACAACGACAGAGAATGTCAAAAGTTCGGTTCGTTGTCGGCATGACTGCATATGTTTTACCAAGGACTACTGTTATCATACGATGTCCAGTGTTGAGGTGATTACGTGTATAATCATAATGTCACTCTTCAATCTTCGTATAAAAGTGGACGTTGCTTTTCTCATATTAGATTTATTGTTTGCTATACATCATTTGTCTTTGAATAAGTGTTTTGTTTTTTATTACCAGGTACCGAAAAGCTCTCATTTACTGGAAATTTAATGGAAATGAGATTATACCTGATGACGACGACATAACAATGATGCCAGATAGCAGTCTAAGAATTCGTAGCACCGACGCTAGCAATGTTGGCCAATATACGTGTGTCGCAGGCGAATCCTCCGCTCATTTTGTATTGAATATTACTAGACCAGGTGAGCGGAAATATGATTAGGTCTTTTCGCATATTATTCGAATAATTTCAAAATTTAAGAAACTCGACAGGGAATCGTTGAATGCAAATCGATTGTTGTCCGTTTATGGTCTTAAACATAAAAAAAAACTAACTCATGACGGACTACCCCCAACCAAAAATAAATTACCCCCAAAAAAGCATATCTTCCGATCTTATTTTTCACAATTATATTGAGATCGAAAATAGAAACCATCCAATAAATCAAATTATTTGTCATTTCGCTTGTCTTGGGATTGAATTTGAGGTTATTAATAACCAATTAGCGCATGAATCCATAAATCAATCAAGAAATAATTTTTGAATCGAAATATTGACTGCAATTTATTCAAGTTTTTTTCCTTATTTTTCACGTACCATGAATAAAGCACATTCTCATTCAGGATTTATCTAAAGCGCATACGCAATCAAGTGTAAATTTTTATTCCTCGTCTAGCATTTTTCTCATATTAAGCGTATATTGAACAAATTATTATTAAGAGCACTTCAATTGTTTTACAACATGTTGTAACAAGATGTATAAGCGTCATTATCGGTCTACGTATTCCGAGTGGCTAAATTTGCGCTTAATATCATTACGTAATCCAAATATGATACTTGTTATGAGAGCTCAAGGGTGAAATATCACCAATGATGTCATTTTGCTTTGAATGAAAGTAACTAAAAGCTTTATTTTCATATAAATATTTTGCTTCAAGGTCGAAAAATGGGCCTTTCTCATAATCAAGTGTACGGAGAGCATCGCAGGCGAGCAATTCCGAGCAGACCTTATGAACCTGACCACGTAACAACCTCTTTATTACATTATAGGCTAGGCTGATATTATACCTTTGAGAGTAATATATAGAGTAGTGTATTTTTTGTAGATTTGATAGAATGTTTTGATTCCTGGTCGGTATATATTTGAGTCACTGGTTAATGGAAGATTATTTCTGAGTAGAATTGTAAATAAGAATAATTCAATCTCTTTTCACAAATAAGCAAATATATTTTTCACACATACCCCTGTTATTATGAGTTACATCTTTTTTTTCTGAAGTGGTTAGGTCAAGTTAATTTTTTCCAACCAGTAAATAAGAAAAACAATAGAACACAGAAAATACGAAAAACATGGAAAGTACACAGGGGAAGGGAAATCGCGGGGAACCAAGCTAGTTATCGAGCAGCGACACCCAATACACAACATCTACCCTCAGTACTATTGTAAATTTAAGGATAATACCTAAAATTATCTAACTTGTATTTTACTGCATTTCATTTGTGATAATATTTTTGTCGTTGTTTGCGCACTTTCAAATTTTCATTTATTCTCGCGCAGATTTCAACTGAGTTTGAAAAACGTCGACGAGGAGCTGTTCGACCATCTGTAATATCGGCTTCTGTTGGTGGATCCATCGAACACAAAGCGCCGCCCATACAAGCGTTTAGGAGACCAGCAGAAATAACAGTTACGCCCGCTCCAATATTGGCGTCCGAGAACGAATGGCCAGAATTTGAAAATGGAGGAGCTGGAAAGACTGACAAAGAGGTAAGACTTCTGTGACTCCTGGGTCTAACTCTAAATGATTGAATACGTATTTAGGTTGCAACCATAGTATTTGTTTTGCTAATAATAATATCACAGGATTTTATTGATATTGATCAACCATTTTCGATTATTTTTAGATACTAGAAGACTTGATAGCAATTGCTGAGAGGGAAAACCAACAAAAATTAGATATATCACCCGAACATTTACGACAGGTAAGTGAAAATATACGATATACTCATTTGGGTTATAAATAATACATTTTAATTTCTGATACCCGCTCTAATAGTCGTGGAAAAACTGTAAATAGGCAATTTCTGAAGCGCTTAGATGTGTTATGCTCAACTTTTAAAACGCTCTTCTATTTTCTTTAAAACCATCAGACATACTTAGTCGAGATAAACGTAAAGTCGCCAATTACGTTGAATGAAAAAGGCAAGCAACATGATAAATGTACAAAATATATACAAATATCTGATTATGTTAATGACCGTTTGACACAACGCTAATGTTTCTTGGCAGCTCGCTACGCGTGCATCTCTGATGAATTCGGCATCTCATATATAACATGAATGCGTTTGCTAGTGTTTTTGAATAAGCAAAATGATTAGATGGCGCTCGAAAACATAACACACCAAACGAATCCCATACCCACTCATTGTTTTAAAGATACTAATATAGAATATACAGTAATTTGTACTCGTATCATACTATATTTATCACGATGAGATGTTTCCGATTTTGACTTCAGTATAATTCGTGGCGTAAAGTGACATATCGCTGATTGCTTTCAAATTTATGAATGAATTGGCTATTGTGCGACAAATTCATCACAATGATTAATAATTATAGTAAGTTTGCACAAGTATGGTTAACAAACTTCCGTCCGATAAAGATACTTGTTTGTATATTGAACTACCTTTGAAATTGAATTGCAAAAGTAAACGGATATGTTAAGTGTTAATTCGTGTACATTTCAACATTAAAGGCGGCGACGGCGATGCACGACTCTTAAATTGTGAATAGGCCCCACTGGCACTTGTATTAAGTAAACATAGATATAAATCAGCAGCAAGTTTTGTTAATCTATTATCGCAAGAATTTGTTTTATTATTAAACATTAAACTAGACCATTGTTTAAACTTGGAATAATTAAAAACGCTTTCAAAAATAAGAAAATACTTACCATATTCCTGTAGTTTCCGCGATGATGTCATTTCCATCAATAAATCTCTTCCGTATCTCCCGACTAAGTAAACTTATGTGAAAGCGGGAGGTAAGTCACACAAACCCAAGGTTATTGTTCCTATTGACAATAAAATCTTTCACAAAGAATCTTTTATTGTTGAAATTTACGCTTTTGAGTTACAATTTATATACTTTATCGGGTTGATGAGAAATAAATTTCAGTTTTGTTTAATCTCTTGTCGGTTTTAGTACACTCTGTCGGCCCTATACGATGACACAACAGCTTAAATTTTATGAGCAAACACTTTTTAGCGTTACGCTGAGCATACATTTCCGTCTTCGGCGTCTTTGTAGACCTCATTTATCAAAATACTCTTTAAAAATCGGTGGTATAAAACAGATCTATAAAATCGTAATTCAAGCAATAAAATTTCCGAACAGGTAGACGGCAATTTCTACGACATGACGTCATTTGAGACGACAGAGACGGAAGACGACCGAACTGGAGTCGAAATTTTAGAACCACCCCGTGGCCTTTCGTTTGTTCCGGTTCCGGATAGGATCGACTATGAAAAGCCTCCTTTGGTTAAACCGGATAGAGTGTCCGAGAACAATCAGTATGACCGTTTCGGAGTATTAGACATACGCAAATTCTCCGAGCCACGAATTTTGATCCAACCCACAGAGGCGCCAATGCAAGTGGCTGGCGACATTGTAACTTACGTTGGAGGGGATTTGGTGGTCGCGGAGCCGGAAACAGTCACATTGCTTTGTGAAGCTTCGGGATTTCCGACGCCCTATCTTGAATGGCTTAAAGACGACATGGAGATTAAGACAGGAGACAGGTAAGAAGATTGATTTAAACGTCGCACAAGTTAATCCTTGTAGGATTTGCGCTGTTCCTCGGCTTCACAACTAATGTTGCTGGCATTTGGGTGGTGTTGGTTTTATAAATTTATTGCTCTGAATTAAAAAAAAGGACATACATGTTATGACTGACTGATATTTGCTTGAAAAACACATGTACATTCCATGACACGAAGAAATCGAGAAATTAAAACTGAACGAGAGTTTTGAATTGTAGGGCAATGTCAGTTTTCCCCAAACTATCAAAATTACTTATAGATGAGTTACAATCAAAATCTGTTCTATAGCGTATACCTTTCCCAGTCGTCCATTTAATTTATTAGTATAATTTAATAGTACTGTCTTTTTTAGGTACATCATTTTAAGATCTGATCACTCGCTTCGAATACTTCGGCCAGACCTCAGCGATGCTGGCGTGTACACTTGCAAGGCTACTAACGAACTAGGAAGCGACTCTGCTTCTACAACTATGAACGTTGCTAAAAAGCCTAAAATTGTCTCAACCAGCGATGTATATTTTAACCTAAATTCAGCTTTTGTTGATGTTACTGTTGGTTCCACCATAAAAGCAAGACTGGGATCGACAGTCAGAATAAGCTGCCGTGTGGAAGGTAACGAACTGAATATTATATAGGCTTAATGACAATGGGTTAATTTTGTAAGCATTTTAGCCTTGCTGTTTTTCTTGCTTATAAGCACATGGTCGCATACCCGGTTCCTGATTAAGTAAAAATGATTGGTAAAAGAATGCACCGACACGTATAATTTTTGTTTTCCTTGTGCTCAAGTGTTGCCGATAGCCTTACAAGACTAAAATCGCTTTCTAAGACAACATTTAGGCTATCTATATGACTATGACTATAGTAACCATAGTTTTATGGTTCAAAATCGTTGATGCAGGTTTCAAATTCACAGCAAATTTACACTTTTTTATTTTGTTAAAAGGTTTTCCGGAACCACACGTAGTTTGGAATAAAGATGTCTCGGGTTTAGGTGATAATTCAAGAACTCTTTACGACAATACATTGCTGATAGAATCAACCACAAAAGCTGATCAGGGAACGTACAGCTGCGAAGCTAGCAATCCGGCAGGCACTGACTATCAAGCTTCAGTTCTAACGTTACTAGGTATGATATCAAAACAATCGCATATAGATAAAGTAATCGAAACTACAATGGCATTTCCATTCGTTATTCAGGTATTAAGTTATGTATTACAGAATATTATTGACGAACTGTGTCTTCGATGCTCGCTCAAGTAGTATCCACTTGTTTTATATGTTATATACACATACTTTTGTCTGATACACTTTTGAAATTCGTGGAACAGTAGGCTTGTCACAACTTAGCATGATTAATTCCATATCCAATAATAACAAGAGTATCTTGCTTACAGTTATAATTTATTCTAAGATAACATAGACTGAGAAACATGCTAGTTTTATTTATTCATCCATTATGTTATGACATAGGATATTCTGAAGTATATGAAAAGGTAAATGATTAAAGAGCAACATAGAAATATGCTGTTGTTATAGACGAGTGCAATATTTCCTGGAACTCATTTTTGAAATCACATAATGCTGACTCCGTTATAAACTTTTGCACACAATTCATTCATATTTTCATCAAAACTTGGGATTTGAATGAATATTTATTACGCTGGGTCATTAGTCTGGTATCCGATACCCGTACTTTGCAGAACATTTCAATTTATATTTATATCATTCAGAACCACCCCACTTGGCAGATGATGACAGTCAATTTGCAGAATTACGGAACTACGAATTGGAACAATTTCCGCGACTTTTTATGACTTCTTTGGGAAAATCGAAGTATAAAGTTAAAAAAGGAACCCATGTTATAATAGGTATAACGTTAGCATCATATTAATTTTGCTTGAAGCGAAATCATTGAATTTGTCAGGGTGAGGGTAAATGAATCTTATTGACTGATCATGGCGTGGCGGACAAAAATGCAACATTCCGAAATTTTGAGGTAAAAATAGTAGTGATTTGTAACCAAAAGGGATTTTATTAAAGAATAAATCATAGATAAGATCTGACTTACTGACTTCACTCTAGTAAACTTCCACCTGATCATAATATAAAAAAATTCTCAGAAATCTCTTCTCATACTATTCAATTGCCTTACAGGATGCCCTGTAGTAAGTTTTCCCGAATCTGAGATACATTGGACTCGGAATGGTATACAACTTCAAGATTTTTCGCATTCCATACATTTTGAGATTACTTTGTCGGGGAAGGCGCTCATGATATCATCATTTGAAGAAAACGCTATAGGAAATTACACTTGTTGTGCAACAAATGAAGGAGGAAATTTAACTACAAGTTTACTGATTAAAGTAATAGGTGATTATTACTATATATATATTTTTGTTCCTTCTTTCGAAAATTCCTGGTATTATTCTCCATTATATAATCAGGAATCTTAAATATTAACTCACTCTGATTCTGAGACTATTGAAGCAATAACAGCACCTTTGAGTTAGTAGTGTTATATGTAGAAATTGAGCTGAACAATTTCGTCATGTGATATTCACCTGTAAACTATGTTGGTTGTTGTTTTGAGCCTTCATCCCACCCTCTAATTATTGGTTAATTAACCAATTAACGTCCTAAATGACCCGTGCGACCGACTTCCCCGTTTGTATCACGTCGAAATCGTTTAACTAAACAAATTGCGTTGTAAACTATTAGCTAAGTCAGATTGACCATTCTGTCGTAGTTACACTTTAAAATAATGTTAGCCATATGTATATGCCTCAAAACGGTCAGATTACGTTATCAGCATATTTTTCTTAGCAGTAGCAGATATTAGCTTTCATCGGTATTTAGGTAGGGTATTTGAATTTGATCTATATGAACTTTGATATTAAAATTAATAGCAATATATTTTATATATCTTGAAAAATTCATGGAGCCAATGAAAAATTTGTAAAATTTGACAAGTACATAAATTGTCGCGAATATGGGAATGTACAGTTATTTGTTATATATATTGCTTTGGTAATGAAACAAAAACACAGCAATCAGAAATTTTGAGCATATCTATTTCGCTTACAGCACAAAAGAACTACAGAACAACGTGTTATCTCTGAAATAAATCTTTTAAAAGCGGTTTGACTCGGTTACCAAAACAACAAGGGTTACCTTAAGCTTATCAAAGCGGAAGCACAGCTTAGTGAATTTTTCAGATTTTGTTATATGAGGGAAAATTTACGTAACATATTTATGTAACATAAAATCGATGCGTTGAGTTTACTAGATTAATACTAAGCGACAATAAATTATTTGCGAATCTCGATTTTAACAAATCTGTCCGAAAACTGATTATTCCTTACTTCAGAATATGGGTACATTTTTGGAAACCTGACAGCATGCACTGATAAATGCGGCGGGAGTGGAACACAGCACTCAACTCTTGTTTGCGCTGAGGAAGGAAAAAATCCAGTTGATGAATGGTTTTGCGAGAATCTTGAAAAGCCAAATGCTCCAGAATATCCATGCAATCGCATTGACTGTCCCCCAAGGTTTGTAACAATAAATAAACATAACTGGGTAGAATTTCTATATAGCCATCCTCATAGAAAATCATGATTTTCATTGATAATAGCCAACCCACCCCTTATATGAAGCTTCACCACTGGTTCATGTCAAATCTTTATTACTTTGGTATGTTTGTCGTACGCAGTGTTCATCTCTTTCGAAGATAACATTCTCATTATGATATTCCACAAGTTCGCACTTTCCAAATTCCTTTGTAGGTTTAACATTGGACCTTGGAGTTCGTGCTCAAACACGTGCGGCATCGGCGAAAAAACACGCAAAGTGGCTTGCGTGGTACGACAGTCCGATAATAGCATAAAAGAAGTTCATTCATCTATGTGTACAAATGAACAATTTTACATAAATTCATCGGTAGTAAATGATTTGATAGATCATGTAAATGCAACACCTGTCAGCCGTGAAACGTGTTTTCTTGAAGCATGTCCACAGTGGAAAGTTGGACCTTGGTCTGCGGTGAGATACATGACAAATTTGTTTCTTTTGTCCCCTGGAAATTACTTCAAATATATATATATACTTATAGAACCCTAACGTATCACTTTAAATACGCATCTGTACGTTGTAGCCTATACATAATAAGTTGACACTAGAAAATGCAAGTTTATAGAAATAGAAGAAGTAGTATTTAAAAAAAATACACAGGGAATAAACCATTGTTGCTTTATTATTAATAGTGCGGTCATAAATGTTATGGAAGTGGAACAGGTGTACGAGCTCGGCGATTATACTGTTTGAATGCTAACGGAACTAAGGTATCACGAAATGAATGTAAACAGTCTTCTCGGCCAAGAAGGTATGGTAAAATTATTGATATTCCCTTTTATAGCAATAGTGAACCTAATCAGTAATCGCGATCATTTCGTATCTCAGGAGGGATCTTTGTTCTACAAGTCGGTGTGAACCTGTGTGGATTGTTAGTCGCTGGTCGTCTTGTTCACACACTTGTGGTGAAGACGGAATTCAAACTCGCATACTAAGTTGTGTATTTCGAGGCAATAAGCGACAAAGAGCTGGTTCCTTATGTACAAAAGATTCCAGACCCACCGTAACATCATCGTGTAACAGGGAGCAATGTCACAACGGTAAGTGAGTTTTTTATTTGAAATTGACGTTTTTTCAGAAATAACTAAGTTCATAAATATTTGTGTTTCACCAGATCCGAAACCACCTGCATCACTGTCATCAGGTTAGTGAATTTTGGTATTTCTTCCTAATAATTTCAGCTTGTAAGGCCACGAGTATATAGTCTATGTGATTAACACGGCCGAAATAGAAATAAATAACCGACCAGTTGTAATTGCTGTACATTATTCATCAATATGTATAGTTTTATTTCGTTTCATTCCAAATAAGTAAATGCTAAGTAGCCGCATGGTTCAATGGATTCCATGCAGAAATAAATTAACTATTTTTCACATTAAAAAGCTGAATTTGTAGCTGCATAAATTGGCGTTGCCCTGAAAGTTATGGCAGATATAATTAGCAAAGTTGGTAAAACTGGTGTTTTGTGGATGATATGCTTCCTTTTATCGTTTTTATTCGAATCGGTTTTTTTTTCCTGTAAACATAAGTCTGTTTTTCAGGTTTGTGTGTGGACAAGTCTCGCTATTGTTCAGTAGCCCAGTCTTCAGGATTATGCGGTTTTTACAGACATCTTTGTTGCAAAACATGCGGATGAAATCATCTACAGATGAAGTGACGTCATAGAGTTCGTCATGACGTTTGCGCCAAATGTCCGACGCGCGGTCGCTTGTACAATACGCACGCCACGGGTTATCACACTAGCAGACTTAGACTTTATTTTTTTATAATTATGCGGTTCATATTAATCCAGACGTACATCACCTAATAGTCTTGATGGTCTACATTTATAAAAATTAATTTATCTACAATGCTCAACCAAAGTACCTAGAATGGCCACGCAGGATCGGGACATCTATATGAGGCCTACATATGCTGAGAAACGAAAACGAAATTATTGTTGTTTAAGTAGTATAGTGTTTCAATTGTGACGTCACACACGGACACTTTTTGCATGTGCTTCTATAAAGCTAAGCTCTCTTACGCTCTTAAATGCTTGCTACCTCGCTACCTTCTTATATCTATTACTCAGCATTTGCTCAATTCGTCGTTCTTTCTTCTGCACAATTGTGTGCAATTTATGCGTCGTCAATGTTCGACACGATCTTTACTCTTCGCCAAAGTGACATGGTCAAAATAGTATAACGTTGAATTTTTAGGTATGCTGAACGTTCTCAAACTATGTTATTAGAAATTTATGAAATATTGATCGGAGAATGACTTCGCTGTAATTTATAATGTAAGCCACATGATGATAAATCATGTGATAAATGTCCATGATCCAATGATAAATGTTCTATGTTCCGTTGTTTAATGCACTTTCTGTAATAAATGTCAATACATCTCGTTACAAAGCACCGGGAAATGTACACAACGTTACTGTTCAATATTTGCTTTTATATTTTATTTTTGTAGTTTTTGTATCGAAGTTGTTTTATTCTACCATTATACAAATAGAAATAAATAATTGAATTACTAATATTACGATACAATTGCTTGATTATATACATTTGTTTACAACTATGTACTGAATGGGCAAAATAGGGACAAACATTATAGCTTACATAGTGGGTGAAGCCTCCCAATGTTAAAAACTTCAGGCGTAGGAAACATATGACATGGAATCGATAACGAACAACGGCAAATAAAAATCGGATTACAGTTATCCGCACTTCTACACATTTTCTCATTTTATAGCAAATGTAGATATCCAACTCTAATTGTTGAGGCGCAATAGTATCAGAATTAATATAAGCTGGATAAATGTCCTGTAGAAAAGGAAATAAATGAGTAAAGCATGCCACTTGACACTGAGTAAATATTTCGTCTGATATTTAAAAAAAGTATTGCTGTATTGTCATCCCCACGCAACACATTTAGCTTTAAAGTATTCCGTTACTATGATCATTTGTTATTGTCTAATGTACACGATGAACAAAAAAATAAGCAAACAGGGGCCATAGGAGATTCGGAGCTGTTAAAGCATAACGTTTATACACATTTTGAAACCTTGTTTTTCCAATGTGATGACTAAATCGCATTGTTTTAATTGAACGATTTCGTATCATTTTTGTACATGGATGAATTTAGCAACAAGATCTTACATACAACTGATAAGGGTAAAAGATTTTAAAAGATAAGGGTTGTTGCTAAGGCTCAGCATGATACCTAATACACACACATATATATACATGATTCGCAAATTTCCAAACAAGATCAAAGATCTCAATAGCAGCGAAAAGAGTGACTATGTATGTATCTCTGACGAGCTGAGGCTCTAAATGGCGCAGACTAGAGCAGGGCTATTCAACTATTTTCACCGAAAATTTCGCATACAAAACTACAAATTTATTTGGGTCCGGTGTTTCCAGAAATTATATTTCGGCATCCTAACGCCCATTTCCTCGACCGGCTAATGATTATCAGCTAATCAAGATTGTTTATTATGGTGTTATAGTTCTTTTCATATATATTCAAAACAATAAAAGTCATTTAATAAAATGAAACTTTAAAAATAGGGCCAAAGATCCAAAATAAAGATTGAGGTGCGGTCCGAATCAAATACTCGAAAGGTCCGGATTCGGACCGCGGTCCGCCAGTTGAGTAGCCCAGGACTAGAGGCATACGTCGAGATACTAATTATATACAATTGTCAACAGCTTGTATGACAAACTTGACAAGGTTATCAAGAAGATCTCTAATGAATATCCTAACATCCATAGATTCAATAATTCATTAAAACAAATCCTGAAATGACCATCACAAAAGACGTTGATTTGCGACTGGAGTCGATGTTTCTATGATGGAAATAATTTTAAAATATAAAGCTTTTGGATTACACAATGAAAGCAATATATCTTGAAGTCCCTAACGTTCGTGGGCATTGTGCAATTATTCAGTTGTCAGCCGAAGTAATTTGAGATAAAGTGTATCATTTTAGTGTTTAGATATCTGAGTCAGTCGGAGACAGTAGTTGCATATGGCCGACAAGATAATGCCATCACGATATTTATTGGATTCCAATACTGCCCATAATTTATTAAGCCGAAATCACCATCGAAGTCTTGCAAAGAAAAAGATTCGGTCTGTTGCTGAGACTAAAACTAAACACATCATTATTTGTGCTTCTCAATATTCATACGCTAATAACTACATCTTTCCTAAAAATAAAACGCATCAAGCGCTACGGTGTTTCCTCGAAAATAAGACAGTGTCTTATTTCAATTTTCTTTCGAAAAATAACACTATGGCTTATTTTCGGAGGATGTCTTTCATTTTCATTTATCAAAAACAAAGTGAAGAATTACGAGATTTTTAAATATACAAAATATGAAAACTGATATCAGTTTACCTTATAAATAACTCGTTTTTATTTAAAATCACAGCTAAACATATTATTAATCATTTAAAACTTGTAGTAGAGACTATCGACTACCGTGGGACTTATTTTAAGGGGAAGGGCTTAGGCCCCTGTATTAGAATCAATTTAGAAATTCAAGCTAGGTCCTTTTTTCGGGCACGGTATTTAAATGAACTAAATCGGGTAAACTTTAGATAATAAAATATGTGAATGAATGAGTGATTCTACTTTATGAAAAGATGCTTAAGTATAAACAGTTGCAAAAGAGAATTGTATAAAACAAAAACTTTCAGCCCTTCAGCATGGTTAAGCGCACCTTTGGTTAGCGTATTGTTTTATGGCGGGGCAGTGAATATTAAAGGTCGATCGACACCACAGTTTAAGGTGTTCAGATAAACATCGCCAGGAAAACTGTTATATATATATATGACGTATTGAAAATTTTCAGAGGAAAAACATTTAGATAAAAATTTCATGGTCTGGAACAGTACTTTCTAAGCTATTTGTGTAGGCGACACACTTTAAATACACAATTAGGCTAAACAACCGACATGTTTTTGATTGGTTTCAGCACAGTACCACGTTCAAATGGATATCAGTTTTATATCAGTCATAGCTGCAAAAGACTCTGCAAGTGTATCTAGTGGAAAGCTGTAAAAGAATCATTATGTCTGATGAATGTTTGAAACTCGAATCCATAAGCTATCCCGCGAGTAGCAGTTCAATGGTCACAATTGACAAATAAATGCAAGAGGGAAGAAGAATAATAACCATATCCGCAATGCACTTCGACTTTTTTCACTTATCAGATTGACTATTGATAACAGACAAAGAAATATTCATTACACCCAGAAGTGAACTAGTTAGGTTACTTACATAAGGGAAACTCGAACAAATAGGCTATCCCAACCACACTCTTTGGACGCCAGTAACAAACAGTTCGATGGTCACAATTAACAAACAAATGCATGAGGAAGCATAAAACCATATCTGGTGCAGATACTCCGACTGTTTTCACTTATCAGTTATGATTATTATAATTTGATGAAAGCCGAAAAATATCTATTACATCTAAACGTGAACTAGTTACTTACATCATGGTATATGCAGGCCAAAGCACATGAAAATTCAGTGATCGCGAGCACCTAATTTTTATGGTGAGCACAGTCAACTACTACTACAGCAATACCTTGCGCCAGTGGTTCTTACCCGTTTCGAGCCTGTCGAACCCCTGTGCTATTCTGCACGCTCCCGTCGAACCCCATCGTACCACCGAATTTTATGAAGTAGAAGTTATTTCGTGCAAGGTTATAGAAAGTGAACATTGTGGTGTATAGGGCTGTCCAAGCGAACCGAATATTTGAAATCGAATCGAAAATTGATTCGGATAATTTGCGAATCGCTAAAATTAGGTGCATAAAGCGCCTCACGATTACCTTTGCACTGCGTTTTTCATCGGGTGAGCGGAAACATATTTCTCTCGCCTTCATTTTGCAGTAAAAAGGTGTCTCTCCTGAAGCCCGGTGGTATTTGATGAGCCATTTCATGCATGACCATAACTAAAAATTTATTTTCGTTGATAAATAAATATTTAAAATGACGTACTATTCGAGAGAGTACACAAGGAGAAAAAAGCAATTTAGTATCGGCAGAAAATGCTAGTTCTATAAATAGAATCGATTCGAAGCTGCTGAGTCAGTAATCATAGGAAAGTAGTACAGAGCTGAAACGCGTGTTGAGGGTCCTTCATATGATGGCAATACCTTTCAATAGTATTGTAATTTCTTATGCTGGGAATAGTTTATATTATCCATCTATTACTATGACAAATAATTGCACGCTTGCATTTTGATGGCTGTTGAACAGTTACAATACCGCCATCAAATAATAATGTCATCAAACTAGCTCCGAATTCATGACTTCCTTGAATGTAATTTTAAATTGCTTGAGCAATAGTTTTATCTTTATTAATGGTTGTTTATCATTTTGCTGAAAATTGCACGAAAAAATCCAAAAAGACTAATGATGATAGGATCAAAAGAGCACCTACTACAGGATTTGCTTGCCCTATTAAAACTGAATTCATTATAATTGAATAATATTGAGTCTGTGTAATTTTCAACTCTCAACAGTTTTCGAAACCCTAATTTTGAAGACCTCTATATTTTTTGACCGGATCATGGAGGTATGTGATCTCTTTTTTTTAACCTTGAAGACATAATTATGTTAAATATTAGCAGTAATTTACATTTAACTGCACATGCGTTATCACAATATCGGAGATTGAGTTTGTATTGTACAATAGAGATAGATTTAGGATTGCGCAATAATATTCGATTAATCGGTTCGATTCGAGAAAAATATTCGATACGAAGCAAAAAAAACAGGGGCAGGGGAAGCGTTTCTTTATGTTTATCATATGGCGACCAGGTTACCAGTCCTCCACCATCAAGTTTATACATCTGAAAACAAATACCTGGATAGCTAATCGCATACCCGACATGGACAGGAAGCCGTAAGCGACCAGCGGTTATGTAAATCACCCTACGGCAGCAAGGAGTGTAGCAATCCTCTCGCACATAATTATCTCCGCATGGGATTTGATCCCTCGAATCCACGCGGGGCAATCATAGGTGGGGTGGCGAGCGTATTCTTAACGAATAGCACAATGCGCCACACCGCCGAGTTTGATCAATGACATTAAACAACATGATAGGCAACTCTGACGTCACTCCATAAGACTACAGGCAAAACATTGTATTTCATGATACGCTCCATTGCACATATTTCTCGTCGCCTTTCGCGTCCGTTTTCCGCTCGCTTTTGCTACTCGGCGTCTTTTTTACGTGTAGTACCTGCCTTTTTGCGCCTGTAACGAAACAAAATAATCTCTATATCTAAGAAGTTTTGCTTACTTGGAAAGCTGGAATAACAGGCAAGCTGTAAAGAGCAATTCTGGACATCATAGACGTTTTTTTTTTATCAGAGAAGATTACAAACGCGATAGCGGAAAGATTTGTGTGGAACATTTTGCAGATAATGACAAAGTTCAAAGTTAGTAATTTTAATGTTTGCGCTTAATCATTGAAATTTCATTTAAAGAGGGTGTCATACAAAACTGTGCTGCGATACAATTCCATAACACAAAGTTTGCACCTATCGAACTTGCTTTTGTAGGTGAATTTATTAGACATATTACATATTCAGTTAATCGTAGGTAACATTGCTGGTACATAATGCATCGTAGATAGGTTTGTTTAAATTTAGGAATTTAGCTCATAGCCCACTAATTAATATTATCTTCTATGCAGGAGGTTGCAGGGCTGAATTCAACTTGCAGCCTTACCGATCACCTGACGATGCTCATTTAGTTTGGCTCGAGCAAGTCTTCTTGAAATGCTTGTGTGAATGGAAACTACCTATATTTTTTGCCTTCCTCCGATTTTAGACAAATTTATTCTGAGGGATTTCGCATATAATTCTCACTGATTGTTGGCTGTTTATAATTCCTATTGATTGTGAATTCTGATTATAACAATGAGTTGAAAATTTTTTTACCTAATTTACTGGCACCTTTTTCTTGTCAATACTCCAAGCTGAGGTAATAAACATGACAATACATTTATGTCATCTGGAAGCAAAATATGCACACAAATTAATAGTTTGGCACATTGAGATAATACATCATGACAGAAAATACAAGTTAAAGATATGTATGACCATCACATGGTAATTAAAATTAAAAAAAAATAATAGGGGCTGTGGAGTATGGAAAGTTCAAGACAAAGAAAAGAACAAATGTTCATAGCTCATGAACTCTCAATTTTGCCTCCATTGCTTTGTGAAGGCCAATATATTTCGAGTGGCTGAATTGGTTTACCTTTATGATAGCAACGATTTTGTATTTAATATAGCGAGATTATTTCAATTTAATTGAAGTGATATAATTTCCCAAAGCAATGCTTGAATCGTATAGAATAGATCAGTGGTGTCAAACTCATGGGTTTTCGAGAGCCGCATTGCATTTTGAAAATTGTAAAAAGAGCCGCAAACAGTTTTTGATAATGTATACGTAAAAGATATTTTTAAGATAGTTTTAGTTTGTGACATATATTGTGATGCAACTAAACAGTTAGATTAAGTTTTATTATTTTCTTCAATTTCAAATGCAATTACATATTAATATTTGCATTCCACTATTATTGCAACATTTGCAAGTTACAGTATTTATTATAAAAATCGTAAAATTCTATGTACAACCATCAAAATCATTTTTGAACAAGCTTTGAATAAGGAAAGAATAATACATACACTAAAAATAACTTAATCTAAATATATGAACCTAAAATTAACAAAAATACCACAGTATAAACTCAATGTTTTAATAATTACATTCGTCCTGGCGTTTGGCATCTTTTTTGTGTCACCAGCATACTAAGGCCAGTCTGAAATGATTTTATAGTACCAACTCTAACTAACGAGGCCACATGATCATGGGTTTATCTGGATCTTTACGAACGTTTAATTAATTCCAGTAATGCAAAAAAGTTACTTTTATCATTTCATGTATAGATCAGTAAAAAAACAAATGACAGATTTTTTCGACAAGACATTTCGCACTACATTGCGTGGCATAGGATTGCTTGAATTATTATTGATATTGATTTTTAGTAACTAAGTCGTTGTATAATTATATAAATATACAAACACATGGAAATTTTCTGTTCGAAGTTGGTCTTCGAATTTGTCATATTGACTGCTGAGCTTATTGTGTTTTTTGATTGTATTGATGGAAATATGACAAATTAAACAATGTGCTTCAGAATTTTGTGGAGAGCAGAAATGTTACAGGTCCCATTTTCTTCGAAAATGCCACCTTCTTCGTGTACTTTGCGTTTAATTTAATTACTCAAGTGTTTTATTCAAGTATTCTTTTGCTAGCTTGATGTGTATTCTTAATTGGGTCAAAATGTGGACAAAAAAATTAATATTCCAAAACTACTTTCAGTAAATTGTTTTCTGTGTGAATAATCAATTTCACTTTAGAAGGTTTGAAAAATCTATTACATTTAGATAAAAAAAAAACTTCCAAAATACTATTACAATTATTGTTAAGCGTTCGAGGGCCGCACTGGAAGTTCTCTGGGCCGCGAGTTTGAGATCCCTGGTCTAGATTGAAGTTGTTCAAAAAATATATGATAGTATTTTATCATGAATGATGATTATACCCCTTCCGGAATTTCTTCTATAGTACTACCAAAAGTTGATGAACCAAATATAACACAGGTGCAGTGAGGTACCCGTAATCCTCATTTCCAAAGCTGTTTTAAGTATGTCTGGCGTGTTTTGTGCCTTTTTACAAATAAGACCGCTTATGCAATCTTACGCTTTAGAATTTTTAGTTATTTTCCTCAAGCCCTGCAGGATGTGGGGGCCATACACAACTCTACCGGAGGGTCAAATGTCTTTGCATGCCTCCATAGGTTGCTTTTCTATTGCAATTTTCTATTTTCAATTGCATTATATTTCTTGGAATCACACTGTCACTGATATGTCGCCAGACTTCTGATATCTCCCCGTCTGCTATAGTTGTCCTGTGAATAAATAATAGGAAATTGAGATTAGACGAATAGTTGAAAGTTTTGCTTTATGTCGGCTTAATTTCTTGATTGATATACTTACTATTTCTGCTATTGCCTCTTGTGCTGCTAGAGTCTCACAATGCTTAGACAGGTTTGTCCACAACTTTCACATCTGAAGAAAGAGAGGAGATTTATTAATTTTCGTTAAGAATAAATAAAGCAGTCTATATGATTCAGAATGGAAAAGCTAATAAATCCAATATCTCATGTTTTATTTAAAAAATATTTTACTGAATTTTGGAAAATAAACCAACTAATAAAAGGGTTTAGTCAGAAAATTACAAGCATTCGTGGCTCCAAATACTTGAGAAATCAGACTATACAATATACCGGTATGAGTGAAATGTTAGGTGAACTTGTTAACACTTTGATTCAATACGCAAATAAAAGTGAATGCGTAATAGTATGTTACAATGAGCAGCAATCAACAATGAGTATATATCCTCACTGATTAAAAAAATCTAACTGGAGGTGCATGAACTATTTGAAACCATAAGGAGTAAGTAAATATGTAATTTCGGCAAATGGGCAACTACGTACCGTACTGAATTAATAACTTCGTAGTATTTGACAACGGCTGGCTTTCCCACATGTACTTAACAGTGCGATGCCCGGGTGTGATATACAACAATAGTATTCACCTTACCTTTTATCGATTTCTTTTTACCCCAACTTTCAAAAATATCATTAAAATCGACAACAACTGTCAAAGCAGGCACGAACACCATTCGTGCTACGCCTTGAAAGCAGCACACATCCGCTCGTTTTCGTCTCGTCAAGTATGTGCATTGGAGCGTGCTATCGAATACGATCTTCGGACAAAAATGCCGGAGTTGCGCATCATGTTGTTTAATGTCATTGGTTTGATCGATGCCACCTGACATAATGCACAAAATGGCACAATTTGGGGTAAATATTGAGAACTCAGATAAAAAGTTAATTTTGTAAAAAGGGCTGGGAATTTTAGGAAAAACACTTTAACCGTGTAAAATTAACCGGATAACCGCAGCGTGTCGTTTGACGTAATAATTTATTAATTTACCTTGTTACTTCACAATGGTTACAATGCAATTTCGGTGATCTTATCCCGTATTGCTCAAAATTATTCACGTATGGAGATAGTTTCGTGATCTTTCTGCTGTAAGAGATATGCAGCGTGCTTCGCCATATAGAAGTATTTTAGTATAACTCGAATCCTTTATTAAATGTCATTTATATGCCAAATTTTCTTGATGGTTTCATAAAGAACTTCTAAATCAAATAATATGATTATTCATGACAATCGGTCGTGCGGAACGAAAAATGATGACTCTCCAAATACGAAACAATTTTCTAGCCTTTTACAACTAAAATATTGAAGAGAGGACGCATCGTGAGTTGCTCGTTTTTATCGTGAATAATCGAGTATTTCCCGTTGTTTAACGCGTTCTTCACCTGTCTACATGGAAATATAATTATTATACATACTTTATATTAGTACTAAATACATTAATTGATCATGCTAATGTTCTTATTCGCAAAAAATAGAACACAACCTGTTGTGGCCTGTGTTTAATAAATGGAATGGTGTAACCGAGTTGGATGAATGTCTAAAATCATTGTTGATTGCAATATTAATTACTTTATTTTGAAAAGAAAGACACCCTTGGCAACTGTTACATGATTGTGTCTTGCAGCAGAGAGTAATGGAGTAGGTTTAAATATTTCTGTATTTTGAAACGAAATATGGCAGCTAGTCTGTTAAGTTTACATGTATGCAGTCAGACAGTGCTAACGTCTTAACTTGTGTTTCGGTTTTTTGATTAATATTGGTGGATTATTGAGTGAAAAATTGCATTTTGGTTATCTGACGATCGACGCACCTTCAGACCTTGCGATTGATCTAAATTATTAACAAGACAAGCATGGTGTAATGCGGTGCATCTGTTGTAGTTCCAGACGCCGGGTCTAGTATAGTTTAGTACCACAAGTACTTCCAGTGGGCATAGCATAACGAATTTTGCATATGTTATTCCAAACACCCGCCTGCCTATGTCATCCAAAAAATTACGTCACCATCACGTGATAAGGCTTGCCAAAGTATAATTACGATCACCCGAAATGGCATCTGCGCTGCCGATTGATACCGAACTCGCTCAAGCTGGCGATCTCTCTCCTATTGTGATCGTTGTGACGAGAAAACGAGAGAAATAGCTTGCTCGATTTTGGGAGATCGTATGCACGTTTTGGACGACCATCCGCATACTTTGGTGGGCATTATTACGCCACTGTGACGTTGAAATGACGTAATTTTTCAGTGACGTAGTCAGGTGGGGGTTAGGATTGACAGATGCAAAAATTGTTGAGCCTGGCCAACTTAAAGTGCATGTGGTACTAAACTATACCAGACGCCTTCGCTTCAGGAACAAATGAATTGTCACAGAGACTTCTCTGCAAACCCACTTCTGTGACTGGCATATCACGACCAGACAGTTAGATTTAATCAAATCATCGCTTTTAGCTGTTTGGGAGTGATTTCAGCATTTGGAGTAAAGCTAGGCCTACTCCTTGTTAATGTTACATCTACTGTTTTCTCTCAATATAAACCTTTTCCTGCAGTTTTAACACATATAATCCTTATTTCAGGAGGACATCCGCATAATTTACAATCATGTCTGACGCGGAAGGGTAAGCTTGCTTTATTTTTAAATTTATTTATTTGTATGGTAATATTACCTTGCTGACATGGGCAAACTACAGCCTGCAGGCCAAATCTGGCCCATTGGGTAATTCAATCTGACCCGCCTGATGCTGCCATAACCAAACTAAAACCAAATTTTAGTGTTATAGCGAAAACAGCTTAAGGAAATTGTTGAGATTGCAAATTAAATGTAGTTTTATCGCGAGGCTTATTGTTTTCCACTTTTGCTTTGTAACACTATATATTTATTACACTTACATGGCCTGCTAGTCTAGGTGGGAAAATGGTTTGGTCAAAAAACCTTTCTCACTCCTGCTCTAATGCTAAATTATCTCACTTTGCATTTTCAAGTAATCATTCAAGTTTCATTTATTTGATGTATAATATTTCTCAATCACATTTTCCAGAGATGATGTTCCACAAGCACCGGTCAAAGTAGAGTCAGGCGGACCAATGGATTTAAATTCCGCTTTACAAGAAGTGTTGAAGATGGCATTGATACACGACGGCCTTGCTCGTGGACTTAACGAAGCTGTCAGAGCACTTGATAAGAGACAGGTACTCAATAATTTGGATACATCCATAGAGATTGTGTCATATTAGTCAGGAATTATATTTTCAGTTGGTCGAATCCAACGTCGCAAATTTATCTCCTGTGGCGTTTAATTCAAAAGAATATCACTGTGTGGGTGAGGTCTCAATAGATGGGAAAAATAATTGAAGTACCAAGATTGCTCATTATGAAAATTTACAATGATAAATTCAGAATCAGTTTTCAGTCGAAATATATTGTTCACAATTTTATTGCAAAATCGTATATTCAATGTCATCCAACAAGTGCGCAGATGATGCCGTTTTTCTTTATGATATCTCGAAGTAGAATTTGTACATCGAACACTAAAAATTTGTCACATGAATCGGGTTTTCTAAAATACCTCTTTTGTATGTATGTTCGAACAATGCTGCTTATCTCTTGCAGCAGAGCAATCATGTCCTATCTCGATTCATGAATAATTTTGAGCGATACCGGGATAAGATCTTGCGAAATTGCTTTCTAACCATTGTGACGTAACAAGCTGAAATTATGAATTATTACGTCAAACGTCACGCTGTGGTTAACCGGTTAATTTTACCAGGTTAACGGTTAAAGTGTTTTCACTGAAATTGCCAGCCCTATCCTTTACTCTACTGCCTTTATAAAATGCTATTAAGCTGAGGTACAAATAGTATTCTATTTTAATAGGCTCATCTCTGTGTCCTTGCAAACAATTGCGATGAACCTGGTTATGGGAAATTGATCGAAGCATTGTGCAGCGAACATCAGATCAATCTTATCAAGGTAACATGATAGCATTCCATGTAATGAGCACAAGATCTTCCACCTGGAAGTGTTAACAACTCTCTAGATTAACTATTAATCTTTTTTGCCCCGTACTTGTTATAATTGGATCAAATATTTCAAAACTTGTCATCTGGACTGGAATTATTACTTCGTTAGTAAAGAGATTTGGTTATAACAGCTTGTTGGCAGATTTAATTATTGTAAGAAGCTCGTTTTCTTAAAGTCCATAACTAGAGATTGGAATACTCAACTCATACCATGTTTGTGACTTGGCGCCAGTGTGGAATTTTTGAATGTACTTTTTGTTTTGAGTGCATTGAAAATTTTTATTTATGGAAATTTTTTGTTCAATTTCGCTTCACTTTTACTATTTGACATTGAAGGTTGAAGACAACAAAAAACTTGGTGAGTGGGCAGGTCTTTGTAAGATCGACAGAGAAGGAAAGCCAAGAAAAGTTGTTGGATGCAGTTGCGTAGTCGTGAGGGTATGATAATGAATATTTATTTATGAAAAGCAAAATTAAATAGGAGTGAATTTTAAATTTAGATCATTCGTAGGAGTGAAACTTTGCCTCAAAATCTATTTATTTTACCAACAATGTATCTATTGGCTTGCATACGGGCTACAATTTATTTTATATATTTCTGTACAAAATTGAACAATACTAGCAGTAATCTAACGGAACTAAGGTGTCTAAAAATTACTTTTTATTCAGGACTATGGAAAAGAAACACAAGCACATGATGTCCTGTTGGAGCATGTGAAGGCTTCTAAAAATTGAGCTATGGTGTATAATAAATATAATGTAAAATACTTTGTCATCTTTTTTTCCTTTTCTAATGTTGGGTTGGCGAGGATCTAATTGAGAAAATCAGTGATGAACTGAGATTTTTTTCTGGCAGCAAATAATGAATATAGGTGGTCGGTCGTTATTCAGGTGTATAGCATCATAATCAAATCGCGAGATGTTTTCGGTTCTACTGTTTTGAGTTTTTTTGTACTAGTCTACGCAAAAATGCGTGATCGACAGCCATCCACAATGAAATGTGAGTGAATGAATCCAGTGGTATCGAAGCACACAGGTTATGATTTCCATGTATACAGCGAGGAGTGGGTCGTTTAGAATGCTCAGTCATGTATTTTAAAGATTTAACTCCTATTGAAGCTAGTGGCGAAATCGTATTTTTATGAACCCTTGACTTCTTATAAATGTGATGATGGTTATTAAAATCTAAACTTTAAACGGAACTAATTGTAGAAGGCTTGCAAGCACAAAAGCCTTCATGGTAATATTTGGCTTGCGGAAATTTAAGACAAATTTCCGAGGTCATTACGTGTCTAGATAGTCCACTGCTGAAGAAAGCACATTTGTTTTTACTTATCTATCGGTGAGTATGTTGATAGGTATTTATCTGTTTGTTTCACTTTCGTATGTTACGCGATATCTCACGAAAACGAGGTTGAATCTGCTCCAAATTTTGCATGTGCATTCATCATATATCCTATTGATTTTAGATGAATTATGTCATATAATTAGCGAGTTATTAATTAATTAGTCATCGGACACGCTGTTGAGACAGAGCGAAGTAATCGAAACCGCAAATCGATAAGTCGGCGGTCTCCGATCGCTATTTAGTTTAATTATTGGTCGTTCGCCTACCCTAAACGGTATATTGGTGATCAGGGTCGCAACCAGGATTTTTAAAAGAATGCTTAGAATCGGAAATTTCCATGCAACGGCTCACCAAACAGTCGAACCGATTAGGTCGCTCGTTAAAAAAGCCGGCTCCAACAGCTATTAAGATTTTTTTTATATTACGTATAGCAGGGATTCAGAGTGCGCTGCGATTTGCTAAGTGCTACCCAAAAATGACAGATTGGTGTTACAAATAACTAAAATTATTGAATATTTCAAACATTGTATTTAATATAAATGTTTTAGTGTTCCTCGTTTTAAATGCTGTGTAGGCTATATGAAACAATAAATTCATTTTACCTTTCTTTGTTTACATTCTGTTACTTAGTGTCTGCCTCATAGATGTAGTAAACAGTAAACACTACTTGCTGCAATTTTGCGAGCTGTAGTTTATTTATCTGCTGAAACGGGTTGAAAACATGTGATTTGTTTATCATTTCAAAAAAAAAAAAATCAGGCAGATATGAGAAAGAAGAGTTCTTTTTCCTGATAATTTGGTGCTGTCTACTACTCTTCACTACTACTGCAATCTGCGTACATAAAATACGCGGAGACCTGTCGGATTTTGAATAGATTATATTCGAATTTTTGCGATCTCAAGAATAGATCAAAGCATTCCGTCCAACACTGGCTATTACTTCATATCTTTAATACACGGCATTCTGCAGACAAAAAATGACGACCCCCGACCTCTTCTGACTGCGTTACTGTCAGTGACTATCGATAGCAAGTCGTACACAATATAAGAACTGTCAAGCAAATCGATCTTATCAGGCCAGGACGAGATCTACGGCAGACAAAAATCATAGAACAGTCCTTTAATAAAATCAAGAAGGACGCTAATTGTCATTTATTCATAGTTCCGATTTTACCATAGCGTTTGTAAAACATACAAAAATAAGAGATATTAAATAATTACTGTACAGTATACACACACAAAAAATAACGTGCCTTAGTCATTCGCTGCAAACGCGTTTTTAGGTGCTGGAGATACTGTGTTAGACTAGTTTCGTTTGCTGTTGGCGGGAGGACAACTTGAAAATGAAGTTCAGTAATGATGTTGCCAGTAACGAGATAGGAGTTCGCGTGTCCACCATGCTAAGATGACATTAAACCGAAGAATGAAACATAATGAGAATCAGATAGTTTATTATTTCGATTGATTATTAGGAAATAAGTTGAAATACGATACTTTGAATATGATGTACATCAGCTTTTTACAAATGCAGATTGCGTTGTTACTGTTTATCAATTCAGCAAAACATTTTACTGTACCCAATGAATTTTAACTTTTTCCCGAAAAAAAAACGATATGTGACACTTTTTGTCGTATCAAACTTTCTGTAGAATACGTACATAAATTTTCGATTGTTTGCGTATTATAATCAAATAGAACTTCTATTTGCCAAGTTTGATTCACGAACGAAGAAGCTCTAAGAAAATTCGAAGTCATGGGCAACGTTTTTTTATATCTATATATAATAATATATATATTTCTTATATTATATAGACTTCTTGTTTTCAGCTTTAGTTACAATTTTGGCATAGAGTTGGCATTTGGACTTCAAACACAAGTTTAGAAGACAAGTTTAGAACCGTTACTCTGAAGTTAGCAAAAGCGTTCTTCGACTTTATGTTTTACATCTGCATTTTTGGTTCCCATTGCCAGCTATGTTACTATTTGATGATAAGTTATTTATATGGGACGGGAAAAGTGATAAAAAACACGGAAGTTCATATTTCATATTGGAAAAGATCCAAGATTGCCTATTTTCTTTCGTGATCATTATTTAAGCAACAGGTGACGTTTGAAGTCTGATCGCGCTCTTCCGACTTGAATTTGAAAGGAGAAGTAATGAGTTTGATTTGCCACAGGGAACTCCCGATGTATGTGAACCAGGATGGGGGACGCCGGAACGGAGTGTGTGTACCAGGTTAGGGTTAGGCCATAATTTTAGGTACAAACACTATAGGAGTCAATTGGCTAGCCCCCGAACTCGTAATATAACTAAAATTAGAAAAATTAGAATAAAATTATGGCCTAACCCTAACCTGGTACACATACTACGCTCCGATGCCGCCGTCTTGGTTCACATACTTCGGGAGTACCGACCACAGCATACTAAGGCGTATTAAAACAGTTCTTCACACACTGCTAATTATATTTAAAAAAATAATTAATTGTGGAATGGGCAGTATTACTTTTCAGGTATACTCCATGCTTTCAAATTCATACACATTTGGATTAGGTTTTTTACTATCTTGCTGACTGGCCCTATCAATATGATGGTCTGGTATTAGAATTACGTAATGCATAAATTACATATTAATCACGTCCTAGCATTTCTCTTAATTGAATTCAAGCAATGTGTTATTGCAGGAAATTCATAGGGATGTGATAAATCAGGGGGATGTGATAAATCAGGTAAATTTGTGATTGGACTTGGACAGCAGGAGCAATTTTATGGCTGTGCTGACGTTAAGATAACTGAACACAACGAGGCAAGTTCCACGGGATTATAGTGTACAGATATCTGATATTCACAATCAGACAAAAATAAATAAGTATTAATCACTAAGTTTGAATTGTCTTCCTTTTAAAACGGTTTGTAAAACGGTAAATTAAATATTGTTTACATGTTACTATTAATTCTAACAGCAAACGACTGAACCAGGATCTACTAGTTCAACATCAACCACAATGCTTCCTACTGCTATTTCGACCATATCATCTCTTACTAAAGAGACAATAACAAGTTGAATATCGAAACAAAAAACGTTAAAATTCCAGCTGAATCATGTGAAGTAAGATTTATTTGTTTAAATGAACCCTGTTATCGGCCACTCAGAGGTTCTCGTCTGGTATCTCCAGCTTAGAATTCTGGTCATGATCCCGTACGAATCCGCATTATTTGGAATATCAGTTCCTTACATTAAGTAATCGAGATAATACATACAAATGCATTGATCGACCCTCTTCATCAATGCAAAAGGGTTTGTTTGTATCTGTTACGCACACGCCAATCTATTGATAACGGAATGAACAATATCACAGTCGACAGGTGTTCAACCACATTTATGTCTCACCCGTGGTTGGGGTTTTGTTTTTCAATAATCCTAAAAAACAGCCTGTTTTAAAAGAAGAGCTTGTTTTGAATCAATTTTTTTTTCCGTATTTTTAGTTTTTTTTTTATTGAAATTCCCCTTGCATCGCCGGGAAACTACGCCAAAATGTTGCGTTCTGGCAGCTGCACACGCTGCCGGAATAATAAGTTTAAAAATGCGAGAAAAAAGTAACTTTATCGCCAGGTTAGTACCTACACCAAAGTCATAAAATTTCAACAGAAATGTTTATCTGAGATTTCTGCGAGGCGCTTGGATGTAAAAAAAGACAAGAAAAACCATGAAACATAGCCTACGGCAGGGGTGGGCAACCCCTGGCACGCGAGCCCATTTATTCGGCACGCGAGCGAGGCCTCAGAAACGAGATCATTCTCCCTTAGATAAATCTTAAATTAACTGATGAAACTCGGTGTTCGTTTATTCATCACATATCGTTTGTTAACAACCCGATATTTATTTAAACTCTGCTTGTCCTTTCATGACATATGGCTACGTAGAAATATATTATGACGTAACAAATGGGTGAGCTCTGGAGAAATTTTGCCGAGAAGAAGGCAGTATTTATTTGGCTACATTCTTACGTTATATAGTTTGTCTGTGCCACCCTTCTTCTTCATTTCTGCTTGATTTGTGAAGTTGTACAGCTCATGTTGATTAGAGTTATTTGCTAACTTACTGTTATAAATTGATTTCGGAAGAAATATAAGCGATTAGAATTAGATGAAGAAATACAAGAGAAAAGAGCAGAAAACGAAATATTGCGTGATTGGGATGTCATTCCCTAAAAATTTTCGTGTCTATAAACTGTGCAACTGCATCACACTCCATGTTTTCATCTACATATGCTTGGGAATCTCTGAGCTATATATGCTTGTGTGATTTTCTCAGTTATGAACTTTGTTAAGTTTCGTAATAGGAGTAGCCTGAAAGAGGAAACCAGCAGTTCATGCATTTCTTTGAAAGTTACAAAATATAAACCCAATGTAAAATCTCTATCAGCGGTAATGCAGCAGCAGAAGTCTCACTGAGATAGAATAAGAAAAGTAATCAAATCTATTTTGGAATAATATTTATCCGAGTAGTGAATCTGTCTGTACATATTTAAAAAGTTTATTATTGTGTATTTTTGCTTTAAAGGTAGCAAAGCATTGTTTTTAATTTTGGTCGGCACACGTAAGAATTTTGTCATTAAATTTAGCTTATTTTGGCACGCGAGCCGAAAAAGGTTGCCCACCCCTGGCCTACGGGCCTATTACACTCCAAAAGCAATTTGATCAGGGGCCCATCGCTTACATTCGGTAACCAAGTTCGTTAATGCAATAATGGAGAATATATTTAGATCGGCGGCGGCGGCCTAAGTAGGTTCGAATCAGGGCCAGATTTAGACGATGAAACACCCTCCTAGGCATAGAGCCCTAGATTATGTTACCTGCGAGGCCCCTCTGTAATAAGACGTCACAACTAATCATATTCAAATGGCATAATAGGGATTCAAGTTTATGTATTATGACATCACAAGTACAGTTTAAGTTGCGTGAATTACTAAACTTCAGCTATATCCAAGATACATACCGTGTTTCCCCGAAAATAAGACTGGGTCTTATTTCAATTTTTCCGAAAAATAACACTAGGGCCTATCTTCGGGGAATGTCTTATATTTTCATTTATCAAAAACAAAATTGCAAAGTAGAGAATTACGATGTTTTAAATTATATATACAAAATATGAAAACCGCTACTCATTTACCTATAAATAACACGTTTTTATTTAAAATAACTGCAAAACATAGATTATTACTCATTTAAAACGTGTAGGAGAGATTTCTTGCTATCGACTAGGTCAAAAAAAAAATTCGCGGTTTTGACTAGATCTTTTTTTAAGGGGAGGTCTTATATTAAAATCATTCATAATATTCAGGCTAAGTTTTATTTTCAGAGTAGGTCTTATTTTCGGGGGAAGGAACAAAACTTCATGACACCAGAAAACCCGACGTCATTATACTCGTTTTAGTGAGATCTTGCATAGTAAAAATTATATATCATAATATGTACATTCCTTGTTGTTTAGATGAATAAGTATAAATAGCTACATATTGATATTTCTTTTGCTTTCATAAAATAAAGGCATTAGTACGATAAAAACTGTTCAGCTATATAAAATTAGCATATTTTGTTTATAGTTTTCAAAGTTATACTGATTCATTTATTTAGCCGTATTTCTAGTTTTTAACTGACATTATTCTGAAACAAGCCTTTATAATTCAAAAAGTAATAATATGAATGATAGTTCAAAATTGATTGACGAGGTTTGAGGCTCATAGGCCTGTAATCACAGTTACTCATACAATAAAAATACCAAAATAACCCAAAACAGCAGCGAGAGCAGTTTCCAGATAAGCGCGACATCGTTGCAATGACGTTGCTACGGGTTCACATCGTTGGCCAATAAGGAGAGAGTTTGGTTTACTGCTGTATTGCACCCTGCTTACTTGATTCAATCTATAAGCTTAGTTTAGATCTACGTCCATATTCGGACATTGAGAATTGATATCGTGAGGAGAATAACACAAAACTGAAGTAAACTTTGACGTAATTCAATTCTAATCAATGCAATGAAACGCATTCTTCTGGACGACTGAAAAAGCGAATGTGATTGTGTTATAATGCAACTAACTACAAATCAATTATTGCGTTGCTCAGAGCATACAATTTGGACGTTTGTATAATTGGGACTGTGAATCATATTACGCTTGCCTGCAAAGATACGAGAAACCATTCGTCATGAGATGCCCGATTAACCTTTTGTTTGATGAAGCCAAACAAATACGCAACTGGCGATTCCTGGTACCATCTCCTTCTGATGTAAGTGTTGATTATGTTTGTTTGACCTTGCTGGAACGTGCAGTGTTCTTTTATAAAGTTAGTAGAAAATCATGATTAAATTTACCCATGTATCAAGTTCTGTATTTGTACTACGCACTTGAATATTTCTCCATTTAATAATCGTTTCATGTCGTCCAAAACGGTCGCTAATTCGGATAAATTTATTTAAATCTAGTATTAAATCATTGCCAAATTCATAAGCCTTCCTTTCAAACAACAACAGGACTGGTGACATGCGAACGCCAAGAATCACTACATACATGTTCTATCCACTTATTTATCCAAGTTTTTTAAGAACATTTGTTCTGGCATAAGCTTATAAAAAATTTCCTGTACTAAGTTTGGTATATTCTGTATTCTATTCTGCTTCCCCTGTCGAAAATAATGGATATTATATAAGTATATATATATATATATATGGGCTTTGGCGATAATACACATGCATAAGTATAGAATGTCGATTTCCGTCCTGAAATGATGTAAAGATTACAATTTTACTTGTTAGTATTCCCTTGAAATGTAGAAGTGAAAGAATTATCATGAAACATATTACAGACCACGAATATTTTTTCAGTGCAACATACTACTATTTAACAGGTACACTGAAAATGACCATTTCACCGAATAATAAATCATATAACGTGTTTTGCATATTTTATTCATCACATGTTTTTATCATTCTATTAAAACTGTAATAAATAAGAACTTAATCACCAACAATCTGCTTAAAAAGATAGTTATTCAATTTACTACATTGCTACCACAACTTCAGCCTCACTTTCATGCACCGCATATAAGTGAAATGCATTGCGCGAAATTCTAAATGCAAAGCCTACACTCACAGTGATAATTTGACTTTTCCGCAAAATGTATGATCCCAGTTCTGGATTGAATGGGAGATATTGCTCGGGTCAAAATAAATGTGATCTCAACTATATATATCAAATACTTGTGTCATAAGAATCGTCATCGCTAAAGGAACCTCCGTCACATTCACTTATTCTTATTTTTCGTGCAAAATGCTTTTGTGTTGAATGTTTGTGAGTTCCTGAGTCATCTGAAGTAACTGAGTCGTCTTCACTTTTTCTTTGTGCCTCCACTTCATCGCTCACGTCCAATGCATGGTTGTCGATGCCTCTCGCCTCGGGACCCGACAGCAATTTAGGTCCACTGATACTTATCCCAAATGCTCCAACAGGAGCAGTAATCAACGTTACCAATACCGCAAGAACCAAGACCTGAAATTACAGAACAGAAGGTGAGTCAGTATCACAACGAAGATATGCGTTGATAATCAATATTATATGTTAAAAGATTATTTATAAGTGATCACCTTTCTATATAAATGGCACTTACAAACGGTCTATTTTTATTTTGATCACCCGTCAATTTCATGTCTATATTATGACGCAACAAAGAATAGAAATACGTATTAGAAGCAGTATAGAAGTGAAAATTGGAATGTATAAACCGAGCACCGTGGAATTCAAAGGTACAGCACATTGATTTTAAAACATGACGGTATGATATTCTTACCTGCTCGCCCCATTTTATTTCTTGTGGCGACCGATGAAGTGTCAGTGCAGCATCGAGCGCTGCTGATCCTAAAGCCGCCTGGAGAAAATAAGATATGGGCCTGCTGTATATGATTTTATTAAGTCTTCGTGTCTGAAGGGATACGGTCTCTTACATATTATACTGTTATTAGTTAGTTATTCAGCACCATTACGCAGGCATGTAATGGCAATTTCTTAGATTACCGTGGAAAAAAATCACAACTTTGGTACAGGATTATACCTGGACTGTTCCTTTTGGAATCCAAGCAATTGTGACAAAAGCTTTTTCACGAAGATTGAAATTGAGACCCCAAGTTACACTGGTACTAACGCACATTCTTGCTAGCAGGCCGAGGCTAAGAACCGACATTCCAAGTCCAACAGTTTGTCCTGGATGAAAAAAAAATCATGATTGAAATAATTTTAACATGACGATGACATACATGACTTGAATAATTAGCAGAAGGATACATAGAAGAAATCTTCTCATTATAAAAATATACCCAAATGCTGAATACTCAAAATCCTTACCATCAAGCATATCGACTTGAACGGTCGCACCAGTTAATCCAAATAAAATTGGTTGAAATACGATCCACATGTAATGCCAGGCAACTTCTAGCGGTTTCTGCGAAAGTTAAAAAGAAACTTTTTTCTTGCATTCAGATAATATAGTTTATTGAATGATTTTGGCTACCTGTATTCGATTGTTATATAAAGTTTTATCTTTAGTTAATATGCTTATAACTTGTTTCTGAGGATTCACTAATCTAATAATTTACAGATCTTGTTAGAAACTATACAAAATGGGAAGCAAAATAAGCAGGTATTAACGATTTAGTTTGCGTAAAACTGCTCATATATTCGGTCGCAATTCCAAAATCTATTCAACAAAAGTATGGTGGCTTCGTTTAGATATTCACTCGTTGCGATAAAAATATACTATTTTATAGTTTGTCTATTTTATTAGTATAGTAGTATAAGCGTAACCTAGCTTCGTTCAACCATATGTACAATAAGAAAAGCAATATGTTGTAACATAAAAAAATTTGGAAATGTTTTCTGTGATGTTGAATCAAAATATATATTTTTATGTTCTACTCACACATTCGTCCTTCCAGTGAAATGACGCAACGAACGACGTCACCAACGCCCACAGAGCGCCGGATCCAGGAATTCCCCAGAAATCTGATGCAAAAACGGCAAATACGCCAATACTGAGAAGCAAAGATCCACGAACAAAGCTCTAAAAAAATGAAGAGAACGATTGGTATTAACGTAGCTGTTCAAATTGCACATTGTCAGCTAAGCTACTGATCACTTTTAGACAGAAAATCGTCTACAGATGAAGTTATGAATTTATGCTTTGCTTCCACGTGTACGTTTGTTACCTTATGTTTCATATCTTTAGGAGGCACATACGAGATGAGAAACCCGCACACAAGTCCGGCAGCAATTCCAATCACCACTTCTACCAGTGCTCCCAGCAACTCCAACCCAGCTTTGCTATGTCCTAAAAGCATTTTATTCAGCCTTTATTGAAAAAAAAAATACAAAACTGGTGTAAATAGAATCCTCACCTCCTCCACTTTGGTGCATAGCTGTGGTATTTGTAAAATCCACCATTGTTGTGTCCATGTAGGCAGTTGTGAAGCTGTCACTTCCGTTGCCTTCGAACAGTCGTAATTCTGGAGCCTGTGTGGTATGATGTGGTGGTGGATGAGGCGATTCTCCAATGATCGCTTCCTCGAGTTTTGTAGGCATTGCTATGCCGAGAAGAACAGTGAAGCCCGCTGGTATGTAAATAGTCAGTTCAGTTATTTTTATCGAAGAGTCTACTTCGTGTGTTTTTTAGTTTATTATTTGTGTCTGAGACTGCATATAAAAATCTACCTATTGCTAAAACGTCGTCAATGCCTGATGCAGCCATTACCAAAGACGGAACTCCCTTTTCGCATCCTAACCCTTTCTCTTGAAGCAATATCAAGGATGGAATGACAACGGCTGGTGATACCGCAGCAATCAAAAATCTTGATAACAAAATATAAATAAAATAGTTTAAAATCGGATAAAACAATTCGATCTATTTGACAAATTAACACAAATAGAAAGATATGATTTGATTATAAACTTACCCAAGCATAAAACTCCACTCCCAGGGAAATCCCATTATAAGATGACCAAATATTCCGATCATACATGTTTCACCAAGACACGGAAGAAAAGCAAGTCGAACGACAGCCCATTTCACTTTTTCCATGGCCTGTTTAAAATATAGTCAATGTGAGAATGATGAGGTTTTTGAATATTTTGGACTAGTGTTTTCATCATTGAAGAGTTGATGCCGCTAGAAAACTATGTTTTCTTCGATGCTGGGAATATTGGATAATTCCTAAAATTGCAACATTGTGCATGTTACTTTTTTAATTGAAAATAAGATTTTATTCAAGGTTCATGTTTAAGATTTCGGATCATGCTGCACGCCCCACCAGCGCACCAATAAAACAACTTTTGACGATAAAGATATTGAAGTTTGAAAATACTTGGATTGTTATTTGAAAAATTACCATTATTCTACCTCCTAGAAACTAATCTAATTAATTTTGTAAAATGAATTTTTTTAACCAATTTTTTTTTTATAAGAAGTGCATTAACAAAGATCATAGGTACATTACACTAATATTATTGCATCTTTGGAGAGGAATAACCCTTAAACCGGAGGTCGTTAAACTCGTTGACCGACGTTTTACTGCAATCACGCTAGACCAAATACAGAAAAGTAAACGACCAAATGTTATGCAATGCAAATTTACTATAGAAATAAGCTTACGCGGTCAAAACAAAGTTGACGCTCGTCGAAAATCAGTTCAAAGTCTGAGATAGTTTTATTGGAACTATTGTTCTGCATTGAAGGTAAATTAACTTTTTACTGTATTGCGTGATGCGGTCGTAAATGAAATCACACGATATCGTCTTGAGATTATCCTATCTTCAAAGGTTCATAGATGTTAAAATGATTTACTTATATCTATAGCTACTGTCGGGATTTTATCTCGGAACGCGGACGTATGCTCTTCGAACATTTTTAACAATAAAAAAGCTAGTTTGTATAATGGATTTTTGTAAAGCTGAAAATGCCCATTGAGTTACCCATTGTAAATTTACGTTTACTAGGGTTTAGTGTTGGTACAAATGACTTCAATGGTTGATTAACCATTTTTGGGTTACCACTTTTTGGGGTGTATCTCCAATGTTGGCGTTTGGTTAAGATACCAAATAACTGAGAATTTCACAATGTTTTTCATAGAATTGAAGCTACAAACCGATGCAGAACTCACTTTGGGATCAAGTTCTAGTCCGGCCCGGGTTAAAATAACTGCCAACGCCAAGGTTCTCAGGCTCCAACTCCAGTGTGGATGTATATATTCAGCAAAATTCACAGGCGGTGGTAGGTTTGCCAACATAACTCCCATCAAAAGAGAAGCTAAAATAAAATTGTAAAGTTTTCGTTTATGTTACTGCTGTAACGATGTCACTTAACATGTCTTTTAATTTTTTTTATATATTTATTATTACGTCAACTGTGACGTGTTATTAAAAAAATACGTAAACAAACCTTTTTATGAAGCACACATTTTGCCCCACGTATATAATATGTATACAGTGTAGTACATAATGTTATCCCACTTACCCAAGAGCTTCGGTAAAGGGGGAAACCCGTGACAGGTTGGAATTTTTGCAATTCCAATTTCCGCAACGAAGCAGAGTAATATGGTCACGAACAATCCAAATATGTTTTCATTTGGACACATGTGTTTCGGTGCTAGAGACCATGTCATACCAAAGAGTGTCAAACAAATGAGACCTAAAACAAAGGGATATTACCGATGTAACAATATAAAAAAATATACCAATATAAAAATATAATACTAGAAGGTTCAAATACAAACAAATATTACGGAGTATATAAAACTGGTGCAATGATAGGCGTATTAGTCTACCTGTATATAAATAGAACTTATAGCACAGTTTATTAAAATGTTATATTTTCAAACTTGTGAAATTTCACCTGAGAAAATATTAAACACAAAATATACAACACTATATGCTCACTCCAAGAAAGCCATTTTCCAGTGGGGCCGCGAGGAGGACATAATTTTAGGTAGACATCCTTCCAACATGGTATTTTCTCTTCTTCCTCATTTACCTCCGGTTCTTCTGGTATGACTGCAATAATGTTTTCAGTTGAGTAAAATTTATTATCTCCACCATCATAGTGGAGTGGTGATGTGTGGATATGATAAACCCCAGCATGCTCATCCGTGTGACTTAGATGGCTAGCCATATCGGACACACCAGAGTCCCGCCGGTGAAAATGGTCAAACAAATTCACAGAGGATTCGGTAGTTCTCGTCAAAGGCATTTTTATTATTGATCGGATCTATAGGATGAATCTATGAAAATAATAAACAATCGAAATTGTGGATCAATACAATATTTATAAATAATTATTGCTTTTCCCGGTTTTACTAGAATTTTATGTTCAATCGAACCATGGTCAATTTTAAAAATATTTTGTCTCTTTTGACATATCATCGTGAACGCCAGCCCATCATCTGACTTCGTATATATAATATATTCAAGTAATTTTGACGTTATAAAGGCTTCAGATACGCAACTTTACACAGGGTTTGATAACTAGTGTGCTCTTGTATACTTTCTAATAAGTCACTCTGGTAATGTGGTATTTTTGGATCTTCGCTCCAGGAGACCCTTATTATCAGTCGTTCTGTCTGTCTGTGTATTTTTGTCTGTGTGTCCAAGCTGTAGCGTCTTAACGGCCGGACTGATCTGTAGGAATCTTTACACGTAGATTATCCTGTCACCCTAATTATGTACGTTTCACCGGGAGTCCGGATTGATGTTCCGTTTCCATGGCAGCGGCAAAAAACGCTCCGATCGTTGAAAATATTACCATTTTCTTATACATTTTGGGCATTTTCCCGTCAACCAAGTTGAATATTAAAAATGCTACCATCCGCGGAAGAAAATAGTTTTTCTGACTAGACGTCTTTCATCTGAATAGTCCATAAACTAAGGAAGTTTTAGGGATTTTAAAGAATGTGTATTAGTTATTAGACACAGCATAACCATGCACACGGATACCGATGAGCCGCACAGCGCTTAAAATGAACTGGCAGTTCTGGTACACTTTTCTCAGTCCATGGCGTCTAGGTATTAATTACCCTTTCGCAATGACGGAGATCCACATTGGGCGCCTACCGGCTTGTATATTAACATATTAAATATAAAACTTCAAAGTTCTTCTATAATTCCTTATACTGATTTACCAGACTATACCTGCAAAAATAGTTTCACCCAGCAGAAGATATATCGTATGAGTAATCTCGTAAACGCTCTGGAGTATATATATAAAACTAAGTAAACGAGGTTTGTAGATAAAACAAAATTTACTTAACTTTCTAACATGTGACACTTCGAGAGATAAGTCAATATCTTCTCGTTATCTAACATGGATATTTTAATAAAACGGTCTAAAGTGCGACACTCGCCATGCGGTGAAAACGTGATTCTCGATGACCCAAATTGGGGGATTTTTCAAACCTATCCTCCATATATTATCCTTAAAAATTCGTGCATATTTTTAGAGCTGATTTTTACTATATTTGAAGGATAAATATGTTTCATCCGTGATAAAAGATGTATACAGAAAACTAAATTTCGTGAAATCGTCGAATCAAACCCTCAGGACTTATTCTTGCTTTGAAACTGAGTCATCTATGTGCATACAGGATAATGTATAAATGCGGCGTTCGTAGAAGTTCACAGTCACGATGGGATGGATTCACCTGGGATACATTATAAAAATGATTGAAACTGAAACTCAATACCAGGCTCTGTAATAGCAATGTAATATGTAAAGAATTATACCAAATAGGAAAAAGCATCATGTCACCAATGGAAAAAATTCTCTCAATGTATTATTCAAATGTATGAAAATTCTTTTGGCAAAACCCAACAACATTTATTTAGTAGCGGATACCACCGAGATTATATGATGAGTGGGTGAGAATTTATTTACATTTCTTAACTTATCGCTTTAGTCATATCACTGACCGATCGAGTTGATTACATAATACTGAAAGGTGATGAGGTGACCCAAGCGATTTACCTTGCAAATACAGATTGGTCGGTCACTTGATTAACTCTTGCTTACAACATTTACTTTACTATAATATTTGGCAGGCAAGCTATATAAAAAGAAAGTTTCTATTTAGGTACTGCAATATTAGCTGGTTAGAAGTCAAGTATGTAACAAATATAGACGATTAATTCCGATTAGCGCGGGAACTTTTTGGAAAAGTTATTGTTTTCTTCGGTAACTGAGCTGAACTAATTCAGGGTTGTCCAAAACGAATCGAATATTCGAATGTATTCGAATATCAAAGTATTCGAATACCTATTCGACTTATTTTCGAATAATTCCGAATAGTAGCCACCTTTCGCCGTAAACGTGGTGTTTCGTTTTACGGGAATCTTCAAACAACTTTTTACGCTGTCTCACGTATTGTAATGACGATGAAATAGAATCGGCACTTTGATTGTTTAAATTCTGTGCGACCGTACGTCGCATAGTGTTGCCACACATTTGCACGTTTGCGTGGGTGGACATTGCCGACATTCGTCTACGAGGCTTTTAATTTACAAATTCATTTCCATTACGTCGAAAAAATGGCAAATACCGTATTTCATGATATTTATTCGCAGGCCGGTTATCGTTACTTTAAAGAGAAACACGGCCACCGAGATAAAGTGATTTGTGACCCTTTCGTTTTGCCGATTCAGCAGAACACGACAGGGACAGGAAAACACAGCTGTGAAATAACCCGTGGGCGTACAGTGTAGTGCTTATCACATTCCAAAATTATTTCAACATTCGGGTTAATAGGTTGTCCAAAAGTATTGCCGCTTTACAACTTAAATTTACCGCTCAATTGGTAAAAATAGATAATTATGTGAGTATGATTCTACCAAACTGACATGATCTTGTTCTAAACATAATATAAAATAATTAGCGCGTATCAGCATAACTGAACAACAGGGACACGATTTTTCTACCCGTCTTATTGGAGGCCTATATGAAAAAAAACTTTTTTGAGTGCTAAAAATAGACATCGTCCTATTTGCCATGTGGACTTATTAGCCGGGAAATACGGTATTTATACCCGTCATTGTTACGATATTCAATAAATTGTCACAAGTTGGAAAAACAAGTCGATTTATTAGAACATAATTTCTGGCAAATATTTCTGATAACGATAGTTAAAAGTATCGATCTTTTACCAGGATGATTTTTTGTTGCGCAAAATAATCCAATCCGTGACTGGTACCAGCATTTAAAATGTCATGCCGTATTATTTTAATTCTGTTTAACATAACTCATGGTTGTATCGACAATATGTGGACATAAAATGGGTGGTAAACTGCCCAATTATAATTAATTTCGGATTCGTATTTACAAAATAATAAAACTATTATAATTCTAAAATGCAACGGCGATCTGTGGCCTTAAAATATGTGGTAAACTGCTATGCCCGATTTACCAACATTTGAGTTAGGATAATAGAATTAAATTAACACGGTAAGGCATTTTAAAGTGGTATCGGTCATGGATTCGAATATTTTGCGCAGCACAAAATCATCCTAGTAAAAAGTCCATACTATAAACCAATGGCAACCATTATCCAAATTAGTTCCCAAGAGCGGGATAAAGTATAAATTCTTTTTCCGACTTGTGACAATTTTTCGTGATCAAAAACTAATTATATTCGGCACAATATCACGGCAATCTGTGGACATAAATTGTGTGGCAAACTCGCGATTAATATTAATTTTCGATTCCTATTTTCGTATTTACAAAATACAACGGCGATCTGTGGACTTAGAGTGTGTGGTAAACCACCCGATTATAAATAGTTTTTGATTCCTATTTCCATATTTATGAAATAATAAAAGTATTATTACTCAAACATACAACGGCGATCTGTGGACTTAAAATGTGTGGTAATGTTCCCGAATATAATTAATTTTTGATTCGCATTTTTGTACTCACGAAAAAATTGTCACAAGTCGGAAAAATAACTCATACTTTATCCCGCTTAATTTGGATAATGGTTGGTATTTAAAAGTATGGGCGTTTTACTAGGATGATTTTGTGTTGCGCAAATATTCAAATCCATCATCGATACCACTATTGCCGAATTAATTTAATTCTGTTAACATGACTCATGGTATATAAAATAAATACTGCAATAATCTGCAAATATGAAATGCCTGGTAATATAGCTAGGTTGTAACTTGTAGATAGCAGATATTCCATTGCTTATTGTATGGAAATTCCTACATACATTTAGATAAGCTTCAATTAGTGGATTTTATTTTCGAAGTATTCGAAATTTCATATTCGGAAAAAATAATTTTGAATGTATTTGAAATAGTGAACTATTCGGTATTGGCCATCCCTGCACAATGCCCAAAGTGGCAAGGAGAATGGGAAATACATGGCCAAGTTGTAGCGAAAACCTTCGAAATGAAACGATTTGAGCGTGGTATATGATCGCTCTATTCATCCGATATATATTCTATTTCTACCTATATAATAAATTTGGGTTTATTGAAGAATAATCTGATTTTTATACAACGATTTTCATTCGCATTTTACTTCAAACGAAACTATGTACTACCAATCACAGACTGGACTATGGTTTGGACAAACTGGAATCTCCCCGTTTCGGCATTTATTACTCAATTTATTACATCCTGTGTGAGGTGCCTGACATGGGATTTGAATAGACTGAGATATTTAACAAACTTGGTTGAATCTATCTTATCATTGGGCCAACGCTACACCAACTACAGCACAGTTTCAAGAATTTGTTTGTGAAGATTTTCTTCACACTGGTTCGGTATCAACAAATTCACATATAGTCGCCTATGTTTCTACAATCAAGTGTATCTGTGTTTCAGGCTTGATCATCTAATCGACGCATAATGATAAATAAAAGAACACGCCTTAGACAATTAAACATTTTCTGTTGGCAAATGTTCATAAGTAGCAAGTTCGAAGTTTAAAAATTCAAATTAAATAAATAACAAATAATGTCCATTCATTTTGAACCTGATCAGTATCATCGAACCAAATAAAATTTTGCCAAATCATGACAAATTACACAAGCATCGAACGGCGGTATAACACTGGCACCGCCATAACCTTCTTTTCCGCCATCCCGAAGATGACACGAATCAGCCGATTTTTGACATGCATAGACCGTATTTTGCCAACCCTGTTCGGGCAGTTCTCCATATTTATCAGCCACTTTTAAAAAAGTAGGATATAAAATAGGTAACGTTGACCCATATATAGAGCTT